ACAGGCTAGCAGTGGAACAGGTAACGAGAAGAAGATATGAGAGATAGAACAGGCTAGCAGTGGAACAGGGAACGAGAGAAGATATGAGACGGAGCGCGGCGAGCGGACAATCGCGGCGAGCGGACAATCGCGGCGAGCGGACAATCGCGGCGAAGTTACAGGTCTTGAATGTGAAGAGTTTGTAATAAAAGTGACGACGGAAAAATAAGTTGTCTGCGTAAAGTTCAGCACTACATTTGGTGTCGGAAGTGACTGCTGAACCACGCCGACATGTCGAAGAAATCGTCGGGCGACAGCAGCGATGGGGACGTGGTGCCCGCATCGGGGCAAGAGGTTGCCGCTCCCCTGGCGGACCTGGACCACCGGGTGCCTTCGGCGCAGGAGGGCGGACCAGGCGGTGCCGAGACCCCAAGCCCGGCTCTTAACAGCGACGGAACTGGCATCGCTGACGCTGTCGGGCCAATCCCTGCCTGCTCCTGCGCCACCGGTGGTGGCTGACGACACGGCCGCGACTCCACCACACCGCGAATGGAGCCGGACGCCGCTGGGGCGCCGGGGTCGCCACCCCCGGGTTCACGGGGCCGGCTACATATGGAGCACTTCGAGGCCAGGGTCGGCATCTGGGCAGCATTTACACGCCGCTTCCGAGCGGTGTATCAATCGCTCGACTGGGCGGAGAGCGATGCACTACGGACCCTGCCGATGGCCCTGGATGACGACGCGCTGGCGGCGTTCTACGGCATCCCTGCTAACGACTGCTCATCGCTGGCGGGGGCATTCGCGGCAATGCAGGCCATATATGAGCCTCGGTCAGTCGCCAAGCGAAAATTTCAGTTAAGGAAGTGGGAGGACACGAAGTCTCCCCTCGCTTACCGCAGCGCACTGTTGGCCCTCGGCCAGGCGGCTTACCCGGCGATGGACCGAGCCACTCTTGACTCTCTGGCCCAGGAGAAGCTGCTGCTGATGGCAAAAGAGCTGCGGGTTGTCCTTTCGCTTCCCAGCAACAGCGACGACGGCATGTCGTATTTGCAGATAGCAAGGAACATCCAAACTAACCTGGATCTCCGCGACGATGGCAGCAGTGGCGCAGCCTCTGGTGATGTGCGCCAGCGTGTCCGGGTGCCCAGAGGAGGTGGAGGAGCCGCGACCGGTTACAGCAGCGAGAGGTCAGCCGCTTGCGAACCCGCCCTGCCGCCCCGGGGGGTATGGAGGTGGCGCTCTTCGTGCATGCTATAAGTGCGGACGGTGAGGGCATCTCGCTTGTGACTGCTGGCGACGCAAGGGCACTTTTTCAAGAGCGCCGGACGACTACAACCATGGATTTCCCCCGTTCCGAGGTTCACAGGCAAGTCGTGACACATTCAATACACGGCCGTTTCCTCCACATCACTCATCCGCGCCGCATCACCCTGTAACCACTCATTTGGACGAGTCGCACGGAAATGTTGTATGAGGTGCGTGAGTGCATCGTGTTTTGGGAGCTGGGCTGGGTTCGTCGAATGTGATGGCACTTGTTCAATGCCTCGACGGGGTATTCGCCATTCTATTTAATGTACGGTCGGGAACCAGAGGCCCCAGCCCTGGTCAGGTTGGGCGTGCAAGTGCGGCGGAAGTCGTCGGCGGTACCTGCCCCCATGCAGGTGGCATTAGACCATCTTAAGGAGGCTAGAGAGGCCTCGTTGGGTAACACCGCGAGACGGCAGGCTGCCAATAAACGCCTGCATGGCACACAGTCTCCGCAAGAGCCCTGGCATGTGGGGGACAGGGTTTGGCTGCACTGCCCTATGGTGCCAGTGGGCACATCTCTGAAGTTCCATCGACCCTGGCAAGGTCCCGTTGAGATTGTAGAATCTCGTCTGGACTAGAGTGTATGATTCCAAAGAACACAGGATGAGATATTACTATCCTTTGTGCAAGCACTTCCAAGAGTTCATGAACAGTGAGCCTGGTGAAATTTGGGGAGCGCATCGTCAGTAGTGAACCTTTGGTTCCTAGGGTGTTTCGGCCTTTCATACTATACACCCTCCCAAAAGGCGGCCAGCGACAGGGTGATCAATCCTACGCTTGCGTCCCATTCCCAATTAGTCATAGGAGTTGCCTTGTTGTTGATAGCCAACATCCCATGGGACTATGCATGGCAGGGGTGTCCTCCTCCCTGAGTCAAGCATTGTTGACTGCATACCTCCGTTGGGGGTCTTTCCTCTTCATCCAGAGCCACTGACTGCTGCCTTCTGCCGCCTCTGATACAGCTCTGATTGCCGAACGCTGGCTCTGGCCCTTAATTCCCAGGTCTCTAAGCAGTCTGGTTGTAGATGTTGCCACAAAACCTCTGCAGCCCACCTCCACTGGTCGGACTTCTGTGTTCCAGCCATGATGCCGTGCTTCGGCAGCTAGATCGGTATGAATTCGCTGCGGCCGGCGCCTATGGCATGTTCACCCGTCGCGTCTTAAGACATTTGTGCCTCCATATGATGTGTCATCTCCCATCCCGGAGCGGCCTGTATTGGATGTGTCTGACGAACCTGTGGTATGGTTGCATGTGAACGCGCCTCAGCAGTCTGCCCCCGTGTGCCTGCAGGACCGCCACTATTGACTCGGAAGAGGCTTTCTGGCAGGTTCTCTGGCCGTGAGCCAGTTGGCCAGACGCAACCTCGGGAGCCGCCCCGAGACACACGGGAGCGGGATGCAATCACACCAGCTGATGATCCCTGTCACGAGGGTGGGCACGCATCGAGGGCGGGATGCAGCTCCGTGTCAATGAGGGAGCGTTCCCCACCCTTGTCCCCTGTCTGCCCATTCAGGGGTGATTGACGGCTATTGGAACCCGCTCTCGAGGAAGGACTCTCCGTTGAAGATACGACTGCAATATTACACAGAAGTTGTTATTGTGGGACGCCATTGTTGGTTGGACCCTTGGTTGGTTGTGTTGTTGATTGTTGCACGTATTCACCTGTCCACTGATCGAGGCGTTGTGTTGCTTGTGCGTAGCCGGGACGGCTAATTATTTTATGGACAGTGGGGTCGCGTCACGGCAAACAGGTGTTGCTGGGAGGATAACGGCCGGGAGACGGTCCATAAAGTGGTGCGTGGCGGTGATTGGATGGTGGATGTAGCAGGTGCAGGGTGACGCCAGCAAGTCTGGAGATGGGAGCAGGTGGCAGCGGGGGCCGCGGGCGCGGGGCGTCGGGGGAGGGGGGGGACGCCGCTTAATTAATTGGTAATTAATGAGGACGGGGATATATACGGGAGCATGAGAGAGGGACGGGGAGATGTTGCTGAGAGCTGGACAGAGATGGTCGGGGAGAAGCAGTGGAGCAGGAACAAGAAGAAGATACGAGAGATAGAATAGGCTAGCAGTGGAACAGGGAACGAGAAGAAGATATGAGAGATAAAACAGGCTAGCAGTGGAACAGGGAATGAGAGAAGATATGAGACAGAGCAGAGTGAGATAGAGCAGAGTGAAGCAGAGAAGAGTGGAACAAAGCAGAGTGAGATGGAGACACCGAGAGAGAGACAATCAGAGCAGTCAGTCGGAGCAGAGAGAGAGGACAGTCGGGGAGAGACACGGCGAGGCGGAGGAAGCGGAGCGAGCGAGGCGAGCGGAGTGCAGCGAGCGAACGGCGGAGGTGGATAATCACGCCGAAGTTACGGGTGTTGAATGTGAAGTGTTTGTAATAAAAGTGACGACAGAAAAAGAAGAAGTTGTTTGCGTAAAGTTCAGCACTACATAAGTACAGCCCTTTTGTCAATCTACTGCTGGATAAGGACCTTCTCACCGGGGGTTGACCATACTTCACCATGCTAGTCATGCGGTCACCACGTGCAATTCACTTCCAATCCAAACTGTAAATAACTCGCGACCCTTAAACAATACAGTGCGTTAATCAAATGTACCATAGATTAATATTTGCGCTGTTAATTATTCATTAGGAATGCAAATCAATTGTAGCAATGCACGCTAAATCAATAAGAATTTAGTGTATGGTAATTGATATATTTAATTTCGAAATTACTTGAAAAGGTATGTTAATTACACTGAAGAATTTGTGTAATGTTGCCCTCATTCAACGTGTTTTTAGGAAATGTTTTGACCGTACAAAAACATAGCAGCGAAACAACCGCAAATATTCACAGTTCCATTGTGTACATCACTGGCGACTATAGGGTAAGAGTACTCAAGACGTCAAGAGAAGTAACAAGAGGCTCACTAAAACCTTTTTTTTAAACCCTCAACATTCAACTCACACCCATCAATGGTAAATTATAAGTGGCACTGCTCTACTTGATGTAATCAAAGGTTGGCTACGTACGGTGCGAAAAAAGCTCATACGTACGTGAGCAATTTCTGAGCTCGGAGATAAAAACAACCTCAGTGTCCTGGATACACTATTCCCGTCCATGTATGTTTGCATGATCCTGGTAGCCACTACAGACACAATATACTGCAGCCGACTGAATTATATTGTATAGAATACTATTCATTCACTGTCCCCGCAGCCTATATGTCATAACACATTTAGAAATAAGCAGTCATTACATCATAATAAATAAATAATCTTCCAGATTAAACTTCGGTGGTAAGCATCCTGATATTAATATCTAACAAATATTTTCCATAATGTAAATTATATATACATGGAATTATGTGAGTTGTAACCACATACATTGATTTTGTAAAGGCTCACTGATGGAAAATAAACTGGGCAGGAAAGAGATGTACTTATTATACATGTGTAACAATAAAAGGAAAACAAATATGTGAATAGAAACCAATATGAACAATTTTTAAACATACATCCAACACATGTGATATGGAAAGTTAACAGTTATGAATCGTTCCTTCGGAATAGACAATGCTTCACTCCATCCCGAAATCAGATACAGTACCTTTACAGCAAGGCTGTACAGAGGAAGTATGGCCATTTGAATGAAGATTTATATTTGCATGGAAAATAAGGGACAGATAATCTCCCCCGTACTTTATATGACTTCCACTATACCTGCAGTAGAAGCAGAAAATGCTGAAGGGATGACCCACTTCCCCAACTCCAACAGCCTGGCTGGGTCCAGCTGCGTCATGCTGTGATCTCATTGCAGGAGATGGCCAAGGGATGCCCTCAACAGCTCTATCTAGAAAAAGAGAATCCAGCTATCCATCAAGGTCAGGATCTGCAGTACCCGCATCCTCTTTTGCTTCATATCTGGTATTTTAAGGCCTGAAGGCTGAAAGATGAAACCAAAATACAATGCGACCATTCAACCTTATTTGAGCATGCTTTTGAACATGCCATATTGTAACAACAATGAGTAAAAAAAACAGATCTCAGTACAATAGAGGGTTGCCATCTTTTACACAGAACAAACTCGGACGTATATTTCCCAGTCAGCCTAGGTATATCAAACCTACTGTACAGTACGTCGTAACAAAGTTCACTACCAGTGCCAGATCTCGGTGGGAGTCAATTCCTGCCACCCGAACACAGATGCCAATTCCTGGACTGCACTGGGCCAAACCCGAACAGATGGCAACCCTGGCACAATACTGGTCATAAAGTGGCATTAAATAAAACGACTGTATTAAGGTGGGTGGGTTTATAACCAGGTGAGAATCAACCCAGCAATCAATAACACGATTTCTGTTTGCAGAAGGTTGCAATGTTAACGCTTTTCAGCTGCAAAAAAAAGTTCCAGGTGACATTTCTTGCATACCATCGGTCTAAGAGAGACCGTTTGTCACTCAAGTCCAAAGGCAATCCACTCACAATCACAATTCCCGTGAGTAAATTCCACCTACAATGCTGGCCAATCAGGCTACAATCCATGATGCCCACGGCCCATATTCATGCATACATTGAACATTACCTGCTTAACAGCGTATTGAGGTGTTTCTCATTTCAAAAAGCCAGCAGCGGAAGTTCCACATTCCTATGGCGGAGGCAACACTCTCCACAAGACAGCCGCTGTTGACTTCCTCACAAAGTCGTATCCATTTAATCGGCCCCAAAAAACTCGCACCCATCCGATAGAGGGTCGCTCGCTCTCCCAGAGCCACTTGGCTAGTTAGAAATACCCCCCCCCCACCCCGCCTATATCCATTATCACCTTCATCATCCCTTGGATTTGTAAATTCCATTCCACTTAGTGAGAGCACACCGTTTGTGTGAAGTCAACTGTTTTTAAGCCAAGTATGAAAAGGATTTTCTTCTCTGGCAAACGAAGATTTGACCAGCTCAAAGCCAGAGTGAGCAAGATGATAAATAATGAACTATAGCAGTGGCGTAGATATCAAGTGCGCAAGAGGTGCAACTCAACCGAGTCCCCAAAGGCCAGAGGGGGCCCTGATGCCAGGCTATGCAGAGGGAGGAAACACAGTAGTGCCTCGGTTAACGTTTTTAATCCGTTCTACGAAAAGTAGTGTTAACCGAAATAACTGTTAATCAAGTTAATTTACAAGTTTTAAAATAAGTAAAAATCACTTAGTCTGCAAAAGCGCTGTTTCCACTGCCAAAACCGAAAAAAGTAATGCAAACAAAGCCATACTCTTTGGTTCTTTCGGTAAAGTCACGTAGATGAAAAATAAAAGTAATAATAAAAAATAAAATGAAAATGAAAATAACTAAATTTCGATTTAAAGCTTTCGTGACTGCAGGGATTCATCTTCTTGGTTCTTTCGGTAAAGTCACGTAGAAGGGAAATAATAAAATAATAAAAATAAAACATCATAAAATAATTCTCACGACGTTTCGGCCACAACGCAAGCAGCCGTCCTCAGGTGAAGAACAGGTCTGTCGGAAAGACAGCGTCTGAATGAAACACCACCAGGCTTGGAGCGTATATTTAAGCTGGGTTGGAGGGTGGAGAGCGCCTTGACAAAATAATTTGCATATCAAGAGAAATATGCTAAATTCCATATCAAGATAAATATGCTAAATTCCTCTCGATATGCAAATTATTTTGCCAAGGCGCTCTTCCCCCTCCAACCCAGCTTAAATATACGCTCCAAACCTGGTGGTGTTTCATTCAGACGCTGTCTTTCCGACAGACCTGTTCTTCACCGGAGGACGGATGCTTGCGTTGTAGCCGAAACGTTGTGAGATTTATTTTAAAATGTTGAATTTTTATTATTTAATTATTTCCCTTCTACGTGACTTTACCGAAAGAACCAAGAATATGAAAATAACTAAATTAAATCACGACGTTTCGGAGGCAACACAAGTTTCCGTCATTAGGTGGAACAGCCACAGCAAAATTACTGTAGTGAATAGAGAGAGCTATTTGTGACAAGGGATTATATAGGGTAAAAGGAGGGGAGGAGCCTGGGAGGAGGGATGCAGGGGGGGGACGCCGTCCGGAGTCGGGGGGGGTTAAGCTGAGTTAAGCTGATTAATAACATCCTTTTAGGACAGTGTGTGGACTTGGGGGCGGAAGTTAAGCCGATTAATAGTTAAGCTGAGTTAAGCTGATTAGTAACATCCTTTTGGGATGCAGGGGAGGGGGGGGGCGTGTGTGGACTTGGGGGCGGAAGTTAAGCCGATTCATAGTTAAGCTGAGTTAAGCTGATTAGTAACATCCTTTTGGGATGCAGGGGGGCCGGTGTGGAGTCGGGGGGGGGGGGGTGTTAAGCTGATTAGTAGTTAAGCTGAGTTAAGCTGACTAATAACATCCTTTAGGATGCAGGGGGGGCGGTGTGTGGAGTCAGGGGCGGAAGTTAAGCTGATTAATAGTGATGAATAGGGGTCCAATCGGGTCCTATGGGCCCCAAGCCAACCACGCTACGCCATCGAACTTTGCTATGTTTAAAAAACGTTTTCATTCACTGCAATGCAACGAACGCTGTGTTTTCCATTGAGTACTGCAATGCAGTCAGCCGTACACACGCCGCGTGTTGCTGCGGAGGTGCCGGACACAATCCTGCAATGTGTCCTCCAAATCTGCAACCGCGCAGCAGTGAATGCCTACTGTCTGGTGCTGTTGAGACTGGGTTGGTGAATTGCGTGGACCTCATCTTTGTGTGTCACCCACCTGCAGGAATATTCGAGGTGACCTATAGTTGGCAGCATAGCAAGTTTTCTAAACTAGTTCGTGAGTGTTATCCTCAATGAGTATAGTTTTCTCTGGATGGGACTGTTTTTTTCCGCAAGCATTACGAAACTGCCCAAAAATCCTAAGGCGAACCATCTTGAAAATGAGTTTTGAGATTTAAATGTTTTCTGCCCATGCCGTACGCTGACCTTCACACAAGCAAAACATATGTAATCATAACCATCATGTTATGTATTGCTTTTTACAGAAACTCTCCCATACTGCTTGCATTTGCATACAAACTACGGAAATGCCACATCTTGAAATCATTACTTTTTAATGAATCTTGAATGTTTTACTCAGCATGACTGGAGTTGGTTAAAAGGATACTAAGGTTATGTGTTCAATTGTCTGTAATAGATACTGCTGCCTATAAAGACATTGAGTCATGACCTTGCTATCCTTGTCATGCATGCGTCACTGCATCTGTATCTGTGTATATTTTGGTGTGTTCATGTGTGCTTGCACTTCGTGTGATTGTACATTCTTGTATCGTACGAATACTCAAAAAGAAGGGGGGAAAGGGACAATGCTATATGAGCAAAAATAAATACTGAGAAATAGCCACTACATCTACAGTGCATGGATGAAGCTACACAATTAATAAAAAAGAGGTTTACTACAAGGAGACATCCAATATATTATATAAGTCTAATACTGGTAGGAACCACCTGTTTCCACCAGCCCACGGTATTTTTGTGTCCATCCGTCGTGCATCGAAAAATGGGAGGGGTGGGGCTGGGTGGAGAGGGGAGGGTGGGGAGGGGCTGGGTGGGGAGGGGCTGGGTGGGGAGGGGCAGAGTGGGGTGGGGAGGGGAGGGTGGAGAGGGGAGGGGCTGGGTGGGGAGGGTAGGGCTGGGTGGGGGGTGGGAGGGGTGGGAGGGGTGGGGCTGGGTGGGGAGGAGCTGGTCACCCCGTGGTGCCCTTATAAAACTCAACGTTTAACCTACTCACGCGGGCTTGTGCCCGCCCTCACAGTCGGCCATATTTGCGGAATACACCACGCAGCTGTTGACTCTGGCCATTGACCGAGCAACCCAACGTTCCTACCAACTCCCTCCGCAGGAATGTGTTATAAAAACCTAGAACACAGCAATCATGACATGAAGAAGGAAACCATTTTTTTTTCTAAATCACAATTTAATGCAAAGCCGTACATTCTTTATAACTTTCCTTGAAGTTGGACATCACATACATTCTTTATGTTTACACATTTACTGAAAGCACCATGTAGCCGTTCATTGTTTCATATTCCTGTTATTTAATTTTGAATTTGTAATTTGATCAGTCTAAAAATAATCTACCTGAGCCAAATTTTACTTTACTGCTCTGCTTTATTTTGTTTTGTCGTTTTTGTGACACAGGTCCCTCTTGCAACTGAGACTCATCTCTTGGTCTCTACAGTTCTCACCTGATTCAACGAAATAAACTTTAGCATTTAAACTTAAACACTCTCAGTTACAAATGTTTCAGGCCCCTTTGCACAAGTGCATTAGTCTTTTTTCGAGACCACATTTGTGAAACCATTCCCTCTCAATTCCCACACAGCCTCTCTTTCTTATTGATTCTCGACCTTGGAACAAGTACTGTTGTGCTGACTAAATTCTACCACTCACGTCTCACTTATTCTATGGGCCACCTCTTGCTTTCTCTCTCCTCACACTCTCATCTTACGTGCTTCTACTCACCACTCTGCCTGTTCTCCACTGCCAATATAACTCGTTTGTATTTCAGTTTTAACTTCTAACATTACTTATGTACCTGAAAGCCACCTTCATTTAACATTATCAATTGAGAGTTAACTACATGTCATAATCAACCAAATTATAATTTGCCTAAAGTGAGGGATCATTGAACAATGCGTACTTCACATTACAAATATTTCAGTTTCATACTATATTCGAAAAAATATATCTGGCTGGCTTCCTGTCCGGATTCTTGTCTGGCTGGCGCGCAAATTGGAGTGCAAAGTAGTAATGTGACTGCAAACGTTTGGGTTATGACGTCACCAGAATCTCACAGCTTTGAGCCGGCTTCTAGAAGAAGGT